ACCAAATAGAAGCAGACTCACAGAACAGACCTATAGCAGTCAGAAGGGAGGGGGCTCGCGGGGCTCGGTGGAAAAGGTGGAGGGTTAAGGGGGAAAAACTCAGAGACACAGACCCTGGCACAGGGATGACCAGAGGGAGAGGGGGATGGTGAGAGGTAGAAGAGGGTGAAGGGGGGATAAGTGGTGATGGGAAGTAGATTGGACTTGGGTGGCAAAACACAACATGATACACAGGTGATGTCTTACAGAATCGTACACCTGACTCCTACATAACTGTATTACCCAGTGTCACTCCAACACCTTTAATAAAAAAGAAAAAGAAAACCAAATAAATTATAGTCTGAATGCTGATGGGAGCAAGGAGGATATCCCCTTTTACGCAAATGTTAATTTTTTTTGTTTGTTTATCATTAATGCAACTAAAATACCATTTGCCAAGCAGTATCTGCTTAGGATACTATAGTGCATGCATGTGTGTTTTAAGATGGATTTTTAACAAGTATATTTGGAAATTAAGGTAAAATAAATTGCTACACATTGAAACACATACAAATTTCTGCATTATATAAGTAATTATGCAGATCATTGAAGTAACAATATTATTGTTAATTATGTATAGAAACTTTGTAGAGTGTTGCTGCATCCAGACTGAGGGTGCCACAGATATTTTTATTAGCATTTAGTAAAAGTGACTTTTGATCTGGATTTCTTACATTAATTATAATTGCCAATTACCCAACTTTGTGGTGAGGAGCTAATTAGGAAGTCTTGGTAGTCCAATTCAGGAACAGTTGAAGGGCAAGGGCCACGGGTTCCGAGGGAAGGGCAGAGTGTGAGTGGGAAAAACACATCTAAACTCTTCCCATGAACAGCAGAGTCAGTATAATTTTTCTTATTAAGGAGGATGTAGCATCAGGATAAGAAGCTATGGCCCAGCACAATCCAGCTGCTACCACCACAGTCTGGCCAAGGCAAACCACCTCCCCCCTTAAATCACTAAGCTGGTTCCAATAACCTTTGACATTTGAAAGTCAGACACTAGTTTTAGACATATCTGCACAGCATGATTCATGAGTAATCTTAACTTACAGTTCAGTGCTTTGATGATGATTCTGAAAGATATATCAATAACTACTATATAAATAAGGTCTCCCTCTTCTGTCAAAATTGTCTATTCCCTCAGCTTCAAAATTAGTATAAGTTTTTGGTCTTTGATGATGAAAGTAGGATCTTGACAGTGATGGGAATTTTGAAATGTAAAGAATTTTTGGCATCAGAAGAAATTTTAATCTGTTACATCAACATCTACTAAGTATCGGTTGAAAGACAGTATTTGGATATCAGGATCATGGAGAAAAGCTGTCAAGTTAAAGTGTCTGAAATCATATTAGGAAGGGCTGAGTGTATTGGGAATTCATTTTTAGCCATAGTTTGGTTTAAACACTAGGACTGTATAAGACACTTAAAGATATGTTACATTTTAGAATGGGCCACAATATTCTATTAGGGTCTTCATCTAAGCCAAAGGCAATAAAAATTAGAATTATACACTAGTGTTAAATTTCAGTTATATAAGATGATTTAATCCTAAATATACATACAACATAGTACCTATAGTTAATAATACTGGATTGTATATCTAAAATTTTTCTAAGAGGCTAGATCTTATACTAAGTATTCTTATCTTAAAAATAATAATAAATAAAGAGAATAGGAGGAAACTTTTGTAGGTGATATATATATGTGTGTGTATATATATATATATATATATATATAAAACATAGATCAGTGATGGTTTCATGATTTATACTTACAGGTTGTCTATGTGTAATACAATTTTTTATATGTCAATCATACCTCAATAATGTGGTTTTTAAAAATTCCAATAAACTATTATAAGAAATATTTATGAAATCTGGTCACATAATTAAAAACATATCATTAAGAATTACATGAGCTATTATTCCAAATAATCAAATGGTGCCCATTTGAAAATTAAAGCATATCTTAAACTGCCACTATTTTAAATACCAAAAGGTCTAAAATTGATTATTCATAGCCATGTCTCCTCGCACAGTGTATTACATTACCTATTGTATCTTCATAACTCAGGCGGATTATTTATTCATTAATTAATGCTCTTTACCTGCCAAGATCTACTTAGGATACAGAATTTGCCTCTATTAGTTTAACAGTAAGGAGTTAATATTATACATGGGATCATTAACTAGTTGTTAACTAGGTAACCAAAAAGAGAAAAATAAAACATTAAGGTATTGTGGAAAATCAACTGCAGTCCTACAAGGTAGGACTGAATGGACAAAGGGGATAGATTGGAATTAAAAACTTTGAAACTTGAAAAGGGGTGCCCGCAGAACTGAAACTCAGCCCTCTGTGTGTGGGCACTTACTTTTGTGCTCATGTAGGTGTTCTGCAACCCAGAGAAGGGGCCACGCAGAGCTGGGAACACATACTTCTGTAAAGAGGGCATCCTCACACCAGTCAGAATGGCCACCATAAACAAATCAACAAACAAGTGTTGGTGAGGTTGAAGAGAAAAGGGAACCCTAGTGCACTGTTGGTGGGACTCTGGACTGGTACAGCCACTGTGGAAAACAGCATGGAATTTCCTCAAAAAAGCTGTTTGACCTAGCAATTCCACTGCTGCTATTATACCCTAAGAATCCTGAAACACCAATTCAAAAGAACCTAGGCATCCCAGTGTTCCTAGCACCACAATTTACAATGGCCAAGTGCTGGAAACAGCCTAAGTGCCCATCAGTAAGTGAGTGGATCAAAAAACCGTGGTGCATTTACACAATGGAATGCTACACAGCAGAAAGAAAGAAGGAACTCGTAGCCTTTGTGACAGCATGGATGGAACCGGAAAGCATTATGCTAAGTGAAGTAAGTCAGATGGTAAAAGACAAATACCATATGATCTCACCTATAAGTGGAACCTAATCAAGAAAACAAATGAGCAAAGTAGAACCAGAGACATTGAAATAAAGAACAAACTGACAGTAACCAGAGGGGAGGGAGGTGGGGGGTAATGGAGGAAGGAAGGGGAAGGGTCATCAAGGCACATGTATAAAGAACCCATGGACAAGGACAACTTAGAGAGGAGGATTGAATATGGGAGGTGGGGGTGGGTAGGGCAGAGAAGAGTAATGGGAGGGAATAGGGACAACTGTAACTGAACAACAATAAAAAAAGAGGGCACCTATTTGCTGGGGATAATATCTTTTTTTACTTTATTTTTTAAAATATATTTTATTAATTATGCCATTACAGTTGTTCTATTTCCCCCTTCATTCCCCTCCACCCTGCACATCCCCTCCCCCACCATCACCCCTTTAGTTTATGACCACGTGTCTCAAGTTCTTTAGATTCTATATTTCCCATACTATTCTTGCCCTCCCCCCTATCGATTTTCTACTCACCATCTATGCTACTTATTTTCTGTACCTTCTCCCCCTTCTTCTTCTCCCACTCCCCTGTTGCTAGCCCTCCATGTGATCTTCATTTCTATGGTTCTGCTCCTGATCTAGCTGTCCTCTTAGTTTGCTTTTGTTTTGGGTGTGGTTGTTAATAACTGTGAGTTTTCTGTCCTTTCACTGTTCATCTTTTTTATCTTCTTTTTCTTAGGGAAGTCCCTTTAACATCTTTAATGATGGCACAATGTACTTGTTTGTACAAGTGTTAAAAAGACTGCCGACTGGTTTCAGTTGCCGTGATGAGAATGACCTGCTGTCCTTCAGGTGAAGTAGTGTTAGGCTGATGCTCACTGAAGCAAGCCCTCTCTTCCTTCTCCAGCCTTGCCATCTTACAAGTAACCCCTATTGCTAAAGCCTAACAGAAAGTCAGCAGGCAAAGCAAGAATGTGGTTTGCCAATATCCACTTCCCAGCATCACTAAAACAGATGTAGAAGGGTGAGTTTGGTGCTGAGTGAAGAACTAGCATAATGCTTGCACCTGACATTAGGAGGTAATCAACTCACACATAGGAGAGAGCCCATACTCTCTATGAATCCTCCCAGACAATCTGCAGGCTTCTTGCAACCACCTTACTTGTCCCTCTTCTAAATAGGTTGCCCATGGTTCAAGGAAGAATAAAGAAAGTTTGTTCAAGGTTGTACACACGCCTTCAAAGCAACAGTGTCCACCTATAAAATAAGCCCTTTTCCCTCTTCCAAAATAAATTACAATGGCTCAGTGACACCTGTTTACCTAAATTTTTAGCATTGTTATGAGTTATATTTAGAATCCGGGTATTGTTCACTCATTAAAGTGATCAAAAGTCTGGCTGATCAGTTAGAATACCTTAGCTAGCTGAAGCAATCATGATATTTAGGAGTAGCTCTTTATATCCTATTTGTATACCTAACAGACAGTAATAATCATCCAAATACACCTCAATCACGTGTGTTCTGATATGGGAACATAATAGATTTGTCTGTCTTGAATAATGAACAAAACGAAAAACTTCTTTTTTCGTGAGATATTGTATAGGACTTTGTATACAACAAATTGCATAAGTTCTTATAATCTGTGAATTGTCAAGCATTAAATTTGGAAAAACATGAAAATTAGGCATAAAGCAAGTAATTATTTCTGTCATGTTTCTGTCTATTCAATTGTTAGTTTGATGATACAGAGATAATAATCCTGTCCATGGGAGAACTAACAACCTAACTCTTTAAAATAAGGATCTGTTTCTACCCTGCTTAAAACAAACAGCTTTCCAATGGAGCAATTCTAATCTTATTACATAGGCTTGATCTAGATACCTGCATTTGGAAAGGACTCATTATCAATAAAGACTAATGGAGTTAAAAATGCATCTCACAGAGATTTGAAGTAGCTCTCTATAATTTTATCAGCTAACAGTCTTTCCAAAAAAAAAATGCTTCCCCATGGTAGCATTGAGGGGAAACAAAAAACATTGCCAATGTGTGTTTTTCAAAGTACAGGCTTAATCATGTTTAAGTACTCCTTACCTATTAACATCCCAGATTTTACTGGTGGTATCCAGGGAAGAAGAAGCCACAAAGTCACCACAGGAATGCCACGTGCAGGACCACACTGCGTGCTTGTGCCCCTCGAAGGTCAAAATGCATCTGCCTTTGGACAGGTCCCACAGTTTAACTGTAGTGTCGCCGCTGGATGTAGCCAGCTTGTTGCCACTATGTACAGAAACATTAAAAAGGGATTTGTTAAAAAATAAATTTACAATTAATTTACTTTTATAAATGGTTCTATTTGGGGTGTATTTGTTGATTTTACTTATAATGGCATGTCTAAATGCCTAAATCTTATTAGTTATACACAATTAGGTGCTTGCTTGTATTGCTAAGTGATTCAAGTTGATGAAATGGCCATTACACATTTTCTAGTTCTTCTATACTTTCTAGATTAATTTCCTAATTCAGTGCCTTTTTTAGCATGTGTTAGGGTCAGGGTTATATGTTAGACTCTGTGGATGATGAAGCCTCAGAATGATGAAAGTTTAGACAAAGGTTAAGACAATTTCAAAAACATAATACAAAACAGTAGGTCAGTGCCACTTATGTTTCTATTAATTGACACAAGGAGAACGTTTCAGATGATGAAGAGGAAGGAAGTGAATCAGGAATGAGGGTCATTTGAGCTAGATCTTGAGAGATAAAAGATTTGAAGGGCTGGGTAGTTGGGATGAGTCATGGGATTTTCCATCAGATGATTAGCAGATGTTAAAAAAAATCTGTGCCTTTCAAGTGCTGGGCACAGAAGCTAATTTAAGAAGTGAGTGGGTATCAATAACATAAATGGAAATATCTATTTTTTGGTAAAATATCAGATGCAAGAAAATTTCTATTCTACTATCTCCAGCATTTGTCCAGCATTTTATTATCATGCTATGTGTTCTCTTAGTAACACCTCTCTCGCTGAACATAATGTTTATTTTCTCTCCTTCTTTGTGTTTTTGATGAAGAACTGTTTCCTCCCCGTTTCTAGAGTATCAAGCATTATGACTGACCAATCAAAGTGCTAAGTAAATGTTTCCAGGAAAAAAAAGTCTGAATGAACGAATGAATGAATGGGTGCAGTTAAATGTTTATGTACAGAAGAGAAACAGCTGCTGGAGAAGGAGCTTAATAAAGGTATCAGGAAAAGGCAAATTATAAAGTTGAAGAAGTTCTCAGTAAAGTTAGAAGAGAGTACTTTATTTTTCAAATTAGTAGAATTGAAAAAGTGCTGTATTTCAGGTAGTTTTTTTACTAATAGATAGAAATAAAAACTGTCCTTTGCTTTGTAGCTTTTTTGTTTTATTTGTACATGTATTTCCTATTCAAAATTTTATGTTTTAGTATTAAAGACTAAACATAGATTTCTGCAAAATATCAAAACAAATATAGAAATAAAAAGGAATTTAACCATGCCTCTTTCTCACATCTTTCTAGTAGCCTAAAAAGTTATTATGGACATGAATCTTGCCCTAGAATAAAAATTGCTGTTATATTTCTGCCTATGGCTGAAAATCCTTTCAGATAAGCTATATATACTTCTCTCCAGCTTTAACCTGTGTATAAAACAATAATCACAATAAAAATAATTACAACTGGAATATAGCCATTGCAATGACCTTTATATAAGTGCCACAAATTGATTTTAGCCAACAATAGATATAAACAATATTCTCACAATATACTGTGACTATGATTTATGTGTATGAACTCAACCAAATGCAAAATATATAGAATATGAATTTCTAAAATATTATTTTCAAAAGGCATGATTTGAAATATGGAAAACTGTATGCTTTGGATTCATAAGAAAACAAAGGCATACTGGAGGGCTGAGAGAGGGAAAAAACGGTGAACTAAAATTCAAAAGTTGCTTTAAGTCATGCAAGAGTCAAGGTTTCCTTCCTTTCCACACAAATAGGAGATGCGAAATCCTCATAAAGAGCAAAAGCTAATGCAGGTTATTAGCATATAGACTCAGTTATTCTGATTGTAGGCTCCCAGCATAGCACCGATTAAAGTCAAACAAATATGAGCTTACAAAAACAATTACCAAACAATGAGGAAAAAAAAACCACGACTGAGGGTGAAGAGATAAAACTAACAAAGGCATACACCCTAAAGGACCCCAGTTGTTTTAATTACAGGGCAGAGAATATATACATGAAATGTGTAAAGCAAAAACAGGGGAAATAAAGGTTATCAAGCAACAAAATATTATTTAAAATGATCTGATATGAAACAAGAAAAAGCATTTAGAAATAAAAATAAAATTATCAAAATTAACAAACTCGTGGGTAGGTTAATAGCATATTAGAAATAGCAAGAGACATAATAAATGAATTGGAACATAAATCTGAAAAATAAATTACCCCTACTAGAGTATAGATGGACCAGGAAATGAAAGTATCTTAGTTGGCTTGGGCTGATATAACAAAATACCACAGGCTAGAAGTCTTAAACAACAGTAATTTATTTTTTACAGTTCTGGAGGCTGGAGAGTCAAAGATCGAGGTGTTGAATAAATTAGTTCATAGTTCATAGTAAGGGCTCTCTTCCTGGCTTGCAGATAACTGTGTTCTTTCCGTGTCTTCACATGGCAGAGAGAGAGGAAGCTCTGGTGTCTCTTCCTCTTTTATGGGACATCAATCTCCTTAAGGGGCACTATCCCGACGACCTCATCGAAATATAATTACCTGGCAAGGCTCCCACCTCCTTATACCAGCACATTGGGGGTTATGGCTTCAACAATGGAACTGGGGGAGGATGCAGACATTCAGTTGATAACAGTATATAAGTTAAGGAGTAGGGGTGATGAAATAAAAAATATATTTTTCCTAGTTAAAATCTCAAAAGAGAATGGTGTAAAAGGATAGGTAAAATGCTCAAAGAATTAAAGGTTGAGAATTTACAAAAACTAGAAAATTTCAGAATAGAATTATATATTCAGGAAGAAACAATTGTACCAATCAGGATAAACAGTGTAAACAGAAAGAACTGTTCACTCAGGTAAATTTTAGTCAAGTTCAGAGCACCACAGGCAACAATAATAATTAGGAGAATAGGCAGAACAGAAAAAGATAGGAAAGGCATATTATAGTGCATAGTATGTGATAGAACCCTACTTAGCACATTTATATATTGGATCTTCACAAGCATACAGGTTGGACACCAATATTATGTTCAAAACACTTGAACGACATCATAGAGCTAGTGTCAGATCCAGGATTTCTGCAAAGACCCAAGAGAAAATAATGTTACTATAAAACTATCAAAACTTTGTCTTAGAACAAATGCAATAATAGTATCTTTGGCTAAACAAAGCAGCCCTCCCTAGCAGGAACTATTAATAGTAAGGATGTATATAGTTCAGGGGAGAAAAAGATCCTGGAAGGAAGATTGAAACCTAGAAGAAAGATCGGAGATGAAGGCATGGTGAGCAGAGAATTTGGTAAACATGCCAGTACATCTAAATATTTGTGCCCACAAATAGTCCCTAAAAAATAAAACAACAATATTATTGACAATAATGGTCCTATGTTGTTCAGAGGGGACGGTTATACACTGATACTCTTTGGACATACTTTTAAGTTATGTCTGAACAGTAAAATGTCAGGGGTAACTATTATAATAACTGAAGTAAAGTATATATTTTCTAGCCTTGTATAAGACAAAAAGAAGTGGGTAAGGAAAGCCAACGACTATAAACATCCATCCAAATTATAAACATATGTCCAAAATAAAGCAAAAAAGGGAGGGAGAAGCACCAGGATGAATGGTACAAACAGAAAACAAACAAAAACCACGGTAGAAATAAATTTGAACACAATTATACCAATAAACAAAAAGATGGACTAAACCGGAAGCTAAAAGACAAATTTTCAGTTTGACCAAATGGAAAACAATTCAACTACATCTTGTTTACATGAAGCACACTAAACTTTTAAAGATAAACAAAGATTGGAAGAAAAGGTTTTTAAAAAGATACCTAGGTAAAGGGAATGAAAATAAAGATGAAGTAGACATATTAATATCAGACAAAATAAACCACGGGCAAAAGTGTGCTATTAGAGATAAAGAGAATTCGTATGTAATGATAAAATGTTTCATCCCTAAAAATGTTTAAATACTAAATTTCAAAAAATACTAAATGTATTTAAGCTGATAAAAAGTAAAAATTAGAGCCAGAAGAATAAAAATGACCAATCTGTTCACAGAATGAAAGATTTACATACCTCTCTCAATTTAGTTTTCCAATTCAAAATATAAATAAAGATATAGAATATTTAAGGAATTAAAATGACAAATTTTAAAGGCCACTTATAAAATCCTTCACCAAATAACTAGTGACTACATAGTTAACTGAAACATATATGGGACATTTATAAAAACAGATAATATAATAAGCCACAAAACAAGTCTTAACAAATTTAACGTAATTGTTATAAAGATTGTATGTTCTTCATCATGATTCAATAGGCATGAATGAATAACCAAATTCTGTATTTTTAAAACCTGTGTTAACTTTAAAACAGTTTTAAATTACCTATATGTTAAAAAATAAGTATTACCAGATATCTTCACATAACTAGAACTGAATAAAAACATGCTTCAAAACCATGAAATAATTTCAAAATAATATTTTGAAGGGTAATTACATTTTAACCTCTTTATAATGAAAAAAGACAGCTGTTAATTTTTTTTGCTAAACCCAAGACTTTAGTTTAAAAACATATACTATAATAATGGGAGATCAAAAAAGACCAAAGGTCTATGAAGAAATTTATAAAATAAATAAATCTTTACAAGGCTGGAAAAATGAGAAAAATAAAAAGGTTCTTTAAAATGGCAATCTATGAAGACAGATTCTAAAGAAATTTTACAAAATTATAATGTCATTCTTTATAGTGCTTATTTGAGAATTACATTTACTTTCATAAAAATGTTGTCTATGTTAACATGAGTTTTTTGCAGATTATGAACAATCTACAAATAAATTATAGCAAATTTGTTTGGGTTGACTATACTTAGCAAACAGTACACAATAAGTACCCATTGTATTTAGAAATACTTCTTTATACCCTGTAATTGCTTTATTTCATATTTTACAAATATGCAAAATTGTTTGCAAATATGTAAATATGTTTTATGCAAATTATTGACCTTTTTCAGACTTTACC